ATGAATATAGTTGAATGTATTTAATTTTTACAATTTTATATAAAATATATTATATTTACTAAAATATTTTTAATTATATTTATTATAGATAGTGATCTCATTTATTACTTTATAAATATTAAATTTTGAATTAAATTAAAAATATTAAAAAATGTTGATTTGATTAAAATTTATGTATATTTAAATTTAAAAAATGTAAACATTTCTTTTATATATACGTTTAGAGAAATACTTATTATGGGACGAAGTGAGTAATTAATTAGTTGACTTTATTTTCTTATAATTAAGACAAATGATTATTATAAATATCAAAATTTATTAAAGAAGTTTAATCCGCAAACTGAACAGCATGCGTGAATAACTATAAACTAGATTTGTTATTCATCTATACTTGAGTTATTTTAGTAATCGATGTGATATGATATCAAAACTTTTTTTTTTATCATGATAGTTATTATATATATAAATTATATTAATTTTTATAGTGCATAAATTAATAAAATTATGCTCAATTAAATAAGTAAACAATAACTTTTTTTCTTCTTTACTAAAACATACATTTTTTAAAGGATCTTCTAATTTTATTTCCTTAATTTTATAAAAGAAGTCATCAGAGAACCAAAAATATGACATAATTTTCCCTGCATTTGGTATTCGAATAAATAAATGCATAAACAAAGAGGGACTGAACAATATGAAAGTAATGATATTAAATGAGAATGAAGAAACAAATATAATGATACCTATTTTGGCCAAGATTTTGAATGATTGGTTTATGATTTCAGCCATAAATAAAACGAGTATAAGAAAGAGAAAAGAAATTTGTAAAGGTGGAATTTTTCGTGAATTATAAAATTGTGATGATTAGTATCTAACTTTTAAATTTAAACTTCTCACAGTTTATTGTTTTATTTTATTTTTATTAAATTTAATAATTTTTGTCAAATAAATCTAAATTTTTACTAAATCTTTTATTTAGTACTAAAATTATATTAAATAATTATAACTCAAGTTCCTATGAATTCAATAACTTGAATTTCTATCCAATTTATTACTTATGATAATTGGTATACTTGTCAAATGCATATCAAGTAAATGGTATCATTGTCAGGGACTTGCATCCTATAATTGTATGATAAGGTGCTAGATTATGTTTTTAATTTTGTTTTTAAATTCATTAATTATTATTATTTTAATAAATTTTATTTTAATTTTTATTTTTCTAATAAGATCTCGCATTTTTTCCTAGCTTGAATCTTGTTTATGCGAGGTGAAACTTCGATCCTAGAGTTGTACTACAATTCGAAAATTGAAAGGATTTACAGAAGAAATAACACTCAGTGAAAAAGATGACTTCTAACAAGTCAAAACACTTCAACATTTGAGCTAATGGCAAATAAAGGAGCAAATCCTAGTCTCAATCTTGTTCCTCCTCCTCTTCCTCCTTCTAATCCACAACCAAAAAGGAAGACGATGGTTGACCACATGTGTGACACCCTCTACCCCAACGTTAATACACAATAAATGTAAACAATAATTTCTTTTTCTTTTTGAGTAAATAAAATCTTTCATAGTTTAATAACATCTTTCATGTATAAAACAACTGCTTCAAATCTCATAAGGTAGAAGATTCACATTCGTAACTCATCAATCATAAAAAAAAGTCAAAGATAAGTATTAAGCTCAAGAAATCATATAAAGGAGAATATATATTCTATATCATATATTATAATTATTTTATTATTAATAATGAAAAAAAAAAAAAAGAAGTTTGTATTCATCTAAAATTTGATATTTTAATTTTATACCCTACTATTATTTGATTATTTTTAATTATTGATGTGTTCATTAAAAAGTTGAGTTGAATGACTATCTTAAATAATACTTAATTGTTTATGATATTTTATCAACGTATAATACTTTTAAATTTTTTTATAGATTCTTAAAACACATGTTAATTTATATACTTTAAAATGGTCAATAAGAGCCAAAAATAATTATTTTAAAATTTAGCGGGATAAAAATCAAAAACAAATATTCTTTTAGGAGAGGGTGTGTAACAATCTGTCATGACTTCTATACTTAACAAAATCAACAACTAGTAGCAGAAAATCACTAAACACTACCTAAAGTTAACACAAGCAATTCTTAAACATGTAAG